TATTGTTACGTCCATGACCATCAATCTCATCTACTAGTAGTTGGAGGTCTCAGGGGAACGGACAGCTACTCCTGACAGTTCTATTTCTGATTTTGCTTTGTAGAAAGATGACTTCGCATACAACAATGTGTCGTGCATTATACGATCCTTTGGTTTCCCACCCACGAGGCATATGTTTCGAAGTACTCAAGCACCCAAAGATATCAATGACTTACGACCTACTTCTTTTGCGACAAATTGTATTCAGAACGGGAACAGCAGTGTTGAGGACTTCAGCGACCCAATCGCGCTCCGTTTGACGCGCGCGCCTAGGCACTTGTCGACCTTCAGATAACCCAAAGTCTCTCACTCTGGCGACCATTGGAGGGCCTGGTCCACCCCGTGATATTGCGCTCGGGCTCTTTTACCTGCCCAACTTTACCTTTGCGAATACCACACGAGCTGTCAGCCGCTAGCAGAAGACCCCCAATACCTCCATATATAAACTCTTCACCTATATGCTCCAACCCTCCACCGCACTCTCCACTCTACAAACATTTTGATCATTTGATTGCTGACAACAGTGCTTGTCTTGCATACATAATCTCCTTGCTTGCCGCCTCCAGCCTTCGGCACTCTTCTCTTGCGTTGAGCGTTGTCACCTAAGGCTTCAGCAACCAACAACAACCCATCACTCAACATGAACCAAGCAGAAGATGTCGAAGTCGTCCTCGGCCATGAGCGTCGCTACAAGTTCCACTCTGGTACTTTGGCGCGTAACTCCACTCTCCTCGCCGACTTGTTGACCGAGTGCAACGCCGTCAAATTGAACACCCGCGCCAGAAATGCTGGTATCAAGACGCGATGGATGATTGAACTCAAGGACCTACCTTCTGAACAACATCCTGCCGGTCGTCTTGACCTTGTGGTATGAAACTCTAACCCCTATCCTATCCTCTATTTACCGGCAACAGTAACTAACACCGATGTTTTCAGGAACTCACACCAACTGCCGAGCGAGCCGACGGTCGCAGCGGCCTGATTGTCAACGAAAACGGACGAATCCCCCAAGCCGTTAAGACCTTCGAGCACTACGAAAGCATCTTCTATGCGTTCTACAACAAGGAGCTCAAGATTGCCGACACCGACATGTCCGCCGCCCTCCAGGACTGCTACCAGCTTCTCAGAATTGCGGACTACCTAGGCTGCACCGTACTTATCTCCAAGCCCATTGAGATCGCCCTCCTGAAACACGGTCAAGATCTCTTCCGTGCTATCCAGAAGAAGCCGCACGCATGGATCGAGATGTCGTACCGAATCCGCAGCGAACTCATCTTCCGCGAGTGTATCGTCCACTTAGTCGGCAACTGGAGGGTTCTGAAGGCTTCTCGCAGTACCCTCGACTACCTACGCGAAGTCCCTGGTCTACGCGGCTTGCTCGAGAAGTACCATCGTGCGATGCTCAGCCAATGCAAGGCCGTCGAGCTAGCCGTCATGTCCCTCTACCCCGGTACCATGCGCCTCCCCGTCGAAGACCTGCCCATCAAGCGCGAAGCCTACGCCAAAGACATCCTCGTCTGGATGGCACTGACCTTCTTCCGCCACTGGATCGGTCAGCGTCTCATCATGGACAAAGGCCGCCACAGTTCCGATTGCGGCTTCGAACTGTACAAGGCCATCGGCACAGCAGGAGATTCCTACATGGACAAGTCCGTCATCAACCAGTTCCACACCAAGTTCCCCATGACGAAGAAAGCCATGAACGTCCTGGAGAACCATCTACTCGAAATCAAGGAGTGTATGAAGACCGTTGTCGATCAGCACAAGATCCTCAAGTCAACCTGCCAGTTGGATATCCATCGCTTCCCTGTTGAGTATCTGACTTGTACTGAGTTCGATAAGGGAGATTACCCGTGGGACAAGGACAGCGAGGGTCCTAGGGTTCTTCCGGCGAAGAGGGCGTACAAGCCTGGTGGCAATGACATTGCTCGCAAGAACCTGGATACTGCGAGGATGCATCAGGAGAGGAGTATGAGCATGGAGGGTGAGGAGGAGGAAAATTCGGTTGAGTTTGAGAGTGATGACGAGGAGGATACCAGGGGTAAGCGGGCTAAGATTGATTAGGTTTGGGATTGAGGTATCCGCCGGGCGGTAGTATTGGGTTGGTTTTGAGCTTCACAGGACGCCGTGAGGACCTCCTGGGGGTTGTGTGGTTTTTCAAAAGTGAGGGTTAGGTTGGTATGTCGGCGTCAAACGGGTCTATGGCTGGACGGAAATGAGGTATTGAGTTGCTTGTAGTCAGCAAAAGGGTCTATGAGGGCATGTAAATTTCTTGACAATGGCTCGACTACCTCCACGGTCAGACACAAAATGATGATTCTTGACTGTATTCTTATGGTGTATTGAAGTGAAAGGGAGTATTTTGACTTGATATCTCCCTGAGTTCGAGTGAAAGCTTCATTCCTGCTGTCTCCTCCATCTCCCCTGATATCCTCTACTCGTCATCGAAGCCCGTCGGTCTCGGCCGTGGTCCCTTTGGTACTGTGTCAAGTCAGCATTACGTCCTCTTGCCCCAGATCTCCTTCCCACAGTCCACCGAATGTCCTAGCAACCATTTCCTGCCATCCGCCACGTACCTGGGTATGTCATAGGGATCTTGGGGATCTGCTCCTCGCCCATATATCTCCGAATCGGGGGAACGGTAACGACCATTATGGGACCAGCGCATCCGACCATGATGGAGTAGAAGTATGCGGGCTTGTTGATAGAGGCCCATTTCATGTAGCGTATCGGCTGCTGGAAGAAGCGCGGGGAGGGGGGAATGCCGGACATGGTCGCTGTGTTGCTGTTGGTATGTGAGCGCGTGTATCGGAGTCGCGAGGCAAGTATGCGCGTACGTAGACTATCCCTTATCGTGCGTGGGTAGGTCCGGTAATCAGCAGGCTCAATGCCTCAGTCTGGTGTCGCAATCGCAAGTTTGTCGGCGCGAGTCTGGTGTTCGTGAGGTCGCTGCCCGTAGCTCACGCACTCACCTCCGCACTCCAATCGGCGTGCAGCGATTTTCCGGGACCGATGGGGCTTGGCAAAAGCATACGTATCTCCGTTACAGCTCTCCACACGCCGGCGCAACTCGACAAGTCCAATCTTCATTCAACCACAAGATGAGGTGGTTACTTTCTTTTACCGTCGCCTTCGTTTGGTCGGTGGTGGTGCAGGCCAAGAGCTTCACTGGCAACCGCTTGCTGGTTGTGCTGGAGGAGCAGGCCGAGAGGGAGAAGTACAGTGTGTTCCTGGAGGACTTGACGTGTAAGTTATGAATTAGTTCAATTGTGTCTGGAGACGTTGTGGTGTCTTTCATTCGCGCAAGGTGCGATGCAAAGACGAGGCATTGGCAAAGCCCCGAAGCCATCGAACTTGCAACTTGGCCTTGCGCAGCAGATGACGCTCAACTGAATTCACTGATGGTGAGCCAATGCTGACACGACTGGATAGCCCGGGGATACACCACATCTGTCGAATCACCAAAAGAGAGCAAGCTCTCATTACTGAAGCACGGCGAACGAGCATACGACCATGTCCTCCTCCTCCCCGGCAAGTCGAAAGGCCTCGGCCCTGCCCTCACAGCGAACAACCTCCTCGAATTCATGAAGAAGGATGGAAACATTCTGGTTGCCCTCTCGAGCGAATACGCTATCCCCACAGCTGTCCAGGCCATGCTTCTCGAAGTTGACATGAACATCCCAGCGGACAAGGGCGCATTGGTCGTTGACCACTTCAACTACGATGCGTCATCGGCGAAAGAAGAGCACGATGTATTGCTCCTTCCGTTCCCCAAGTCGCTCAGGCCGGACGTCAAGAACTACTTCGCTGGCGAGGGATACATTGCCGTGCCACGCGCTGTCGGTCAGGCTCTTGGAAACGAATCGCCTCTCACCTCACCTATCCTCCGCGCCCCTAGCACCGCCTACAGCTACAACCCCAAGGACGAGGCTGACGGTGTTGAGGACCCCTTCGCGGTTGGAGAGCAGCTAAATGTCGTCTCTGCGATGCAGGCCAACAACGCGGCGCGCCTGGCTGTAGTCGGTTCAGCCGAGATGCTCCAGAACAAGTGGTTTGCTGAGAAGGCCAAGCTAGGCGACAAGGCTATCACGACTGGTAACCGCGAGTTTGCGCAGAAGCTTTCTGAGTGGACCTTCAAGGAGACGGGTGTGCTGAAGATTGGCAAGCTCCTCCACTACCAGGATGAAGGTGCTAGCAAGAAGTTGAACACCAGCGCCGCTATTCCTGAGAACAACCCTGGAATCTACCGTATCAAGACCGACGTCGTAAGTTCATGTTGAGGCGCGTTTTAGAAAAAGGTACTAACAGACATAGCACTTCCAAGTCGAGATCTCCGAATACACGAACGACCACCTCGCTCCCTTCGTCCCCTCACCCAAGGATAACATCCAGCTCGAGTTCAGCATGCTCTCGCCCTTCCAACGCCTGAACCTCTCTCCGATCGCACAAACCGCGAACGCAACCATCTTCGGTGTCGCGTTCAGAACACCCGATCAACACGGCATCTTCAACTTCCGCGTCAACTACCGCCGCCCATTTGTCACCAACATCGACGAGAAGAGGCAGGTCACCGTCAGACACTTCGCGCACGACGAGTACCCAAGGAGTTTTGAGATTAGCGGTGCGTGGGTCTGGATTGGCGGTATCTGGGTTACCGTTTTGGGCTGGTTGGCATTTGTCGCCGTTTGGCTGTACAGTGCGCCTAGCGAGAAGAGCACAAAGAAGACGCAGTAGATGGACTACAGGGTTTTGGATGGGAATTTTGACCGGCTATGTGCGTGTAAACAAAATACTCCGTCGGCGATGCGCGGTATGTATATTATGGATAAAGGGCAAGAATGACCCAAAATTTCGTTGCGAATGGAATACCAAAGAATACCACAATTTGCTCCCAGCACCCTTTTCTCGTTCTCCCTAGTATCCTCAAAAGCTTTGACTGTCTCTTACACGCCGCCTTTTCTTTAAAGCTTACTCTGTTCCTCCAAAACCCGCGGATGCGCTACCTTGCCAGGCTTCAACTTACTCCAATCCTTCTCATACCCCTCTTCCACGTCCGGATACGGTCCTAGTGGCGTGATACTGAGCGGGTTGATATCGCCATGACTCTTCGTGTACTGTGTGCGCAATCAAGGTCAGCCATCACAGCACCCTGCACGACGATTCGCAGTTCCACTTACATTCTCCTTGATATGCCTGAAATCCGTACTTTCCTTGAACCCCTCAACGTTATGATATAGATTCTTGAGCCAATTGTTCAAAACAGGGTAATCATGTCGTATCGAACCCAGATTCGTCTTGAAATGCTGCGAGTAGACCGTATCGAAACGGACGATCGTCGGGTACGCCAGGAGATCCAACTCAGTCAGCTTGTCGCCGAGGATATACGGGCCGCCATTCTTGTGCACAAGTTCTTCAAGTCGATTCAGCGCAGCGAAAAGCGGAACAACACCCTTCTCGTAACCTTCCTGAGTCGGTGCGAACCCCGCTTTATACACGCCTGCGCAAATCAGCGACTGCAACCACGGACTAATCTCATCGATCTTCTGGCGTAGCTCCTGGGGATAGAAATTAATGCCCACAAGCTTTCTCTCACTCTCCAACACCGAATCGAACGCCCGCGGTAACCACTTCAACATCTCCGCACTCTCATTGTTTACAATGCGCCCGCTCTTCTTGTCCCACAGGAGCGGCACGCTGTATTTACCCTTGTAGGCTGGGTCGTCGCGGAAATAGATCTGGTGCATGAATTGGCTGTTGAAGAGGTGGTCGGGTGTTGCGTTGGGATAGCTGGCGTCGAAGCGCCAGCCCGGTTCGCCCTTTGGGTAGGGGCGGACGATGGAGACGGGGAGGTAGGGTTGGAGGTGGTTGAGGTGACGGACTAGGTTTGGGCGGTGGGCGAAGGGGCAGAAGAGGCCTGGGGGATACGTTGGCGTGAGTGCTGCTTTGGTATGGTGTTGTGGATTTATGTAGGCTTACCGATGTAGAGGTGGTATCTGTCTTTCTCGGGTGGGAATTCACCTCCTTCTTGGATGACGCCGTGCCAGCCATCGTCGGTGCCGTACTTGTGGATTTCTTTGGTGGTCATTTTGTGCTGGGTGGATGATAGATGAGATTCAAGATATCCAACGCACAAGAGAATGTGTTTCTATTAGGAGAAGCTTCGGCTATCTGTTCATATATCGTTCGTTATGTCAATGATTGTGTACTGTGATGCTGATGCTCAGCTAGGGAGCTCATAGTGGGGTATCTGAACGCCCCGTCGTAAGCTCATGCAGGGACCGCGGAACTGATTCCGAAATCGAGCCAATTTCGGAACTCAGGTGCAGCACTTCAACTCTTCGCAAGTAACACCACAAGGCACACCACACGTCTCCGTACTCGTTCGTGCAGTTTGCGTTGCACTTGTGACGCCTTCGGCTGTTACTCTGCCTCCACCTTCAACCTCATGGAGCCTGTCCGAAGAAGCAGCCAGCTCAGGCTGTAGTGTTGCCGAATGAATGCCGTACGCATGCAGACATTCAGAGAAAATCTTGGCTTTGCTCATGAAGCTCGCGATATCAGGGTCACTGACCACAACGTGTGCAGATGCGACAGCTTTCTTCTGATCCAGACGCCAAACGTGCAATTCGTGCACACTAAGCACTCCAGGAATGGCCTCCAAATCGTGTTTGACATCCTCAATCTTGACGCCCAGGGGTGCAGACTGAAGCAGGATCTTGCCGCTACGCTTCGTGAGGGGAATTGCGGTAAGAAGAATCATAATGGCGATCCACATACTAACTGCGGGGTCGGCATAATAGCGATTAGGCGACTTGACGAACCATATGATAACGGCGGAGATGATCACACCGATGTTGTTGATCGCGTCGCCGATGACGTGGATGAGAACTCCAAGTATACCCAGATCCATGCCGTGCTTCTTTGGTTTGGCGGATATATGCAGGTGATTGGCATGTATGGGGGTAAGTGACATGCTCTCTTCGTCGCCGTTGCTACCAGGGCCATGGTCGTGATCATGCTCGTGTAGAAACAAGGCACTGATAATGTTGAGAGCTAAGCCGACACAACCCACAATCAGGACCAGCTTGGGGTTCTCGACGCGCTCGATGCGGATGAAGCGTTCGATAGATTGTAGCGTGATGCTGACGCCTAGAGCGAGAAGGAAAGAGCCGTTGAAGAAGGCGCCGAGGAGTGAGGCCCGCGCCCAACCGAAGGAGAGATCTGGAGGTGAGGTCTTGCGCTCTGTCACCTGGACAGCTACCAAGGCCACAATGAAGCCGATGAGATCGTTGAGCTGGAGATGTTGTTAGTGCTTTTACGCAAGGAAGGTGTAACATAGACACGTAGGATGACGCGGGACTCACATAGTGGAAGGCATCAGCTACCAGGGCAAGTGATGATGTATAGAAGCCGACGGAGATTTCGGCTGCGAAGAAGCAGAAAGAGATGGCTATCACGGCCCTGAGGCGGGTCTTTCGACTGACTTGGAAGCGGCCGTGCTTGTGCCCATGCGCATGATGGTCTGGCTCGTGGCTGCTGTGGCTGTGGGCCATGGTGTCGAGAGAACAATGATATTAGGTTTTAGGAAAAGATTGAGGGAAAGCTCATGGTAAAGAGAGGATGAAGATTAGCAAACGAGGATGGAGACCGAGTACCTGCCTGGCTTTATGTCCGTTTGTACCATGTTCAGGAAAAAGGTGTGAAACACAGGGACTTAGTGACGGTGCGAAATTTGAATCGAGATATGACAACGGTTAGATATCTAGGTGAGCTCATAGATACACTACCTGTATTATCCGAACCCTTCAAGTTCATGTGGTACTTGTACCTACGGGTTAGTGACACACTAGATCGTGACTACCTGCAGGTTGCGATGGCCGTGTAGTTACTGACCGTGAAGACGGGAGCCATCGCGCAAGTGTATTTTTCGATCGATGGTATGTCATCGATGGTATGTTATCATGTAATCCTGCCAAACGGTGAGTTATCACGTAGCTCCCGAGGTCGCGTCCAGGGATAAAACGTGGAGTGTATGGAAAGCTGCCGCGCGTCACAATGTGTAGCTCAGCGATATGTTACCGAAAGATGGACATGTTAAGGATACATGCTCTAGGAGACGTGACTCGACGCGATTTAAGGCGGCAGTAGATCGCAGTGGCGTGAAAGATAGATTCACATGATAGCGCGGAGGACCTAACCCGATGCCGCTTAACGCCGGAAGTGCCAACACCGCCTTTCGACCAAACGGCCTGGACCCTCCCCGCCGTCGCAAATAATCTCGCAGAACCGCCAGCCTTCACACAAATACAACCTTGGACTTTGATCGCTCTCGACATATATCCCCACTCACACTCAGCGACTGACTATCAGCAAACTACAAGATGGGTAACGGAGCCAAGTAAGTCCTCTATACGTGTCTCAACGCTTTAGAACCTTTGCTAACATTTTTCGAAGAGCGCAGCAGAAACGCGATAGGAAGGGTTAGCATCCCTTCATAGAGCCGCCCGTGAGACAGACACTAATTTCGTACCCCAATCTACAGGTGATGCCGGTCCCAAGGAAGCAAAGAGCCAACTGAAAGCCGTACGTAACCCCGCTCCCTCGCGCGATCCTGCAACGTCGCGGTCCCGCATTCACATCACAGTTACAAGTCGCACTGCTAACACATCGCCAGAACGCCGCCGCCCAGACCATCAAGTGCAAAACCTGCTTCCAAACGTTCCAGGGCACCACGAGCCGCAAGATGCTTACCGATCACGCAACCAACAAGCACAGCAAGGAGTTCGATGTCTGCTTCAACGCCGACGAGGGTGTTGTGAAATAAACGATCGGACTTCCGAGCGAGTGCACGACGACGACAACGGACGATACGACAAAGTTTGCTATTTACACGAGCATGAGATACCACGGGCGAGGAGTGAGGAGTTGTTAGGGGACGGCCATCTATGGCGATTTGACGAGGCATGATACACAGGCGTAGGGATCGATATATCACGAATCCGATTATTGGCTACCATACACGTTTTGTTCTCATACTACTACCGAGGGGCTATCTCCTCTGTGATCGACTGACGGTAGTGATTTAATGTTGAGAAGCCTAAGACTAACGACGTTCCAGAGGCACAGATATAAGTTGTCAAACTAGCGTAAGCGGGAGAAGACGCGTGCAACAAGCACCCGGCCGGGATGCTGAGCATGTATAGCAGACACGTTCTGTTGGCCGATTCGACAAGAACTTGGGGAATGTATGGACACTTTGCCACTCACTCCTGTGGGACCATCTGTCGATGCATTCCAAGAGACAGATTTCCCGTGATTCGAACAAGCCACTTTGAAGATGGCACCTAAGCATAGCCTATGATACGACGCCATTCTAATATTGCAACAATTCAATTCAACATCGTTATCTCTGTGTTTATGTATGGTAAGCGCGCATGTCTCGCGTCTTACTTGATTAGGTGATCCGCACAGTAGAGTCGAACTCGTAGTCCTGATGTGCAGCGCGCATACAAGAAAATCCCGCCCCGAAAACAGACAAACCGAGGTGCAACGTACAACAGTAATGAACCCAGTGTTCCCACATTGCCAATCACCACTCTGGTGTACCATGCCCAGTTCCCGTCTCAGGCCTGGCCAAGTCTAGCCCGCGGTGCAAACCCCACTTCCACCCCACCAACGTACTTCATCACGAAGCAGGGTTTTGATTTCGCCACAACAGATTCCTATTGGATCTTTTCCCTTTTCTTGTCCTCAGCTTCTTGGTTTCTGCCGCGTAAACTGAGATATAAATTTTGCATTCTTCAATTTCTCCATCAAATCCCTATCACAACCGTCTCCTTAGCTCAATTGGGAGAGCGCCAGACTGAAGTCTCAGTCACTAAATCTGGAGGTATCGTGTTCGATCCACGAAGGGGACAACGTGCTCGAGCTTGCTCGGGATTCTTCGAACCATTCTTTTTGCGGGTGTGACAGACATGGCGGACGAGTCTGGTTATATCCTTTTTGCTGTCATTGGTGGTCTGGATGAGAACAGCAGAAGTGCCCCTTTCGCTCACTCTATCAAAATTGTCACTTCTGCGCATGTTACGAGGTGCATCTGGCAGATGTTGTAGATTTGTTGACTGTAGATTTCGACCAAGCGCACCGAAAGGCTGGCCATGAAGTGCTTTTGTTTTGAGCACCTGTATGTCATAAGGGTCATACTAATTATTGGACCAAGATACCGATCCTTCCTCTCTTCTTGCACACCCTTTTTGTGCACTTCGCGTGGTAAACTCCTGGCCCTCCTTTTAGAAACCGAAAGCATCGTATTGTTCCCCAGGAAACACGCTCTGTCACATTCCTCATATCGCCAACCTGTTGTTATCCGTCCATCCCACCCACACCCCACCAATCTCCCTCGCAATATCCTCCGCCGTCCTCCCATTTGCATCCCTCAGGCTCCTGATATCGATCTTGTCCTCTGTAAGCCCCCTCATAATACCCATAGCCTCCGCCTCCTGGAAGACCTGCGTAGGGAAGTCAAGTAGCGGATAGTTGCTCGCCAGCAGCAGTAACAACCACGCGACCTCTCTGCTCTGCGCATGCACTGCCGCATGTAGCCCCGACTGCATATCCCCAATCGGATCCTGGTATCTCAACATCCTGTCAATGCCCACCTCCTTCTCTGGATGATCCGTAGTGCTCATTTCCACATCGCCCTCGTCGTCCTCGCTATCATCGTCATCGTTCAGCAGCAGCTCGACAACAGCCTTATAATCGCCTTCGCGGCAGAACTCGAGGAAAGCGCGCGCTTTCCTGTCTTCCGGGTACGCTTTCAGGTATGATTCTTCGGTGAGGAGCGGCAGGATATCGAGGTTCTCTTGGATTCCGCCTTCGTTGTTGAGTCGGCAGAGGACCTTTTGTTGACCGTCGCCTGTGCTGGAGATTTCTTTGCCGCAGTGGGGACATGAGGTTATTTCGTAGGCGGAGAGGAGGCAGTCCCTGCACGAGCTATGTTAGCGATAGTATGCGATTGCGCAAAATAGGTGTTGCGTACCAGTGGAAGTGGCATCCGCAGGTTAGCTGGACGTCATCGGGATATGTTTCTGGTGCCGCCGCTGGTCCTTTGCCGGATGACGATGCGCCGCCCTCGTACTCTTCGTCCTCGTCGCGCTCGACTTCTACCTCGAGGGGCTTGTCGCAGATAACACAGGTAGACATTTTGGTGCTTTGCTATGTGCTTCAAAGATGTGAAGGTGTTGGTGTTATGGGCGGGGCTATAGCGGGGTTTGTACTTTTTTTGTCGCTAAATCGGGAGGGCGTTCACGCGTCACGCGTCAGAGTTTACACGGACGTCATCGACCTCTCGTGGCGGCGTCAATGACTTTGTGGGGTAGTTGCTGCTCATGGATCTATTATGTCTTTGTATTAAGTGGCTATCAACGTCCCTATTATCGCAATCTTTGATAGCTCGGGTTCGTCCACATTAGAGGGACGCGTGCGAGCGCGATCCTTTCCCGTCCTGTTCCCCTCGGTCTGCCTTCACCAACACGACTTCTAATTGCGTCTCTCACAACCCTTAAACCATTGCTGAACCGTGTGCCAATCTCGTGAGCTGTCGAGTTTGCTGTCGCCGGGCCGCGACCAATTGGAGATACTCGCTGCATGGCACGGTTGGGCGGCATGTCTTCGTCCTGTCCATAATCATGTTCTGCAATAGTTGTCGACCTCTCCTGGTTCTTTGTCTTCAACTGCTTGAAGTAGCTATCGTAAAGCTGACCCCAATCCACTAGGATGACCCCCTCTTCCATGTTCCAGTACCGAATCGACTTGTTCGATACACCAAGTGTCCAGTGCTGTCCGACACTCATCGTCACGTTGCATCTGGACCGCGAACCGGAGAAAATTCGGGCCCATCCATAGCAGCCTCGGCGGTCCTCGTCTCGCCATACGCTTGAGATTGGTGCTTCTTGTTCGACGGAGAATACGGCGACTGTTGGATCCTCCACCAGGAATCGATTGAATTGCAACCGGAAGGTGTGATTCCGGCAGCCAAGATTGGAATTGATGATCGTGTGAGGTAGATGGGCTACCGGGCCTCGATGTGACATTGCCGGTCTTGAAGTGCAGGTATTCGGATTCCGTGACGGGCTCAAATCGGTGGCGCGTCGACACATATTGCAAGAGTGATCTGAGAAGTCGTGGTCGGTCTTGTTGGAGCTGAACATGTTTAAAAGCGGAAGGCAGAGCATACTGAATGCTAATGCGGAAGTGTGCGTAGAAATGGCAGTGTTGACAGTCGGGAAATGAACAACATGCCAACACGTTCAAGGTGGTGCAAACAATGCCATGCGGGCTTTGCTTGTTTCCGTGGGCGATCGAGTTCTCTTCCAAATACCCTTTCCGGCACGCTGTTTCTGCCGCCGTAGCCAGGTACGTGCCGGACTACTCCTCACCGTACCATGGTAATGCCGTTGCATGGTCCTCCTCATCGGTCACGCCCCGCGGACTAAGGCAGGGAGGGGACTCACCAGGCCGGCAAGTGAGGAAAAACAGACTGCCATTTTGCTTTTTTGGAATACCAGAGCTAGCGCACGCCCGTTCTCTCGATGGAGCACAAGCTCCGTCTCACCGTCATCTTGCCAGCGAATGCTTGCTGCGGAGGAGAAAAAGCACTGCGATTATCTATGGAACAACAATGTACATATGCATGGTGTACGAGCGAATTGTAAGAATTGGTGGTTCGTAAACTCCACAAAACAACATACGACACCAAGACCTTACACACCACTTCAGTCGTCCTTCGGTCTGCTTGGCAAAATTGGCTGCCCTTCTGACCGCCATGGACATCTTGAGAATGCCATGCTTGGGCCAGCGTGGTACGCGCCCTCGCCATATCAAATCTCCGGCGCCCACGTTATCCTCAACATACCAATTTCGACTGCCGTTTACTTTTAACACATCGTAGAAGCATCGAAGCTTCCATGGACTGTGCGATTGTGGCCCGTGGATCAGTGTAATTACCGCCGAGCATTTGCGATGTGGCGTTTCTGGTGACGGAATGAGACGGACTTGACTTCCTGAACACCAGGGAGTTGTGCATCGAATGCAAGTTGGTTTGCGATGCCTAGATGACCAAGCTGTTAGCACGTCGACCTTTCAGGGCTGCCAGACTGTGTTTACCATTCCATTCCTCATCTGCCCTCCTGTCTTCTTCGGCCATCTCTTCAATGCTCTGAATGCTCCTCATCTGAGGCTGCTGCCTCTTCTCCAACTCCATCCTCGCAGTCATCTGCTCCATTATTGCTTGCTCAGCATCCAGTCGTTGAACGCTATCTTTGTTTCGCAGTAGAAGACGGTGTGACGCCGACTTCCATATCGCTCTCGAGTCTCCAACGCGTTGCTGAAGAGGCTTTTCCCAATCTTGTTCCCAGCCTCTCACTGGCTCCTTGTCCGTTGTGGGTAAGGCAACCTGGGAATGAAATGCTGATGCTTGGAGAATTCGAGGGTTGGCCGAGGGTTTGGGCTGAACGGGTACGGCGGCCGATCTTCCCAATCCAGAAGGGCAGTACGGCTTCTGGACTTGATGCTTGCGGACGTTAAGGGGTCGGATTGTCACGTCGACCGCAGAATCGTATCTGTTAGAGGGAGGTGGAGGCAGTTCTCGCCTGAGTGTTCGCTGTAGCTCAAACGACTCTTGCCATGAGAGCACGGATCGCGGGCCTTCTAATAGACCTGGCACTTCTGCGTTTTGTTTCTGAGGCTCACCAACAGCCCGCTTGGTTACCCTTCCAGAAAATCTTGGTGTTTGCGAACCCAGTCGCCCTCCAACAAGTGAGTTCACACTCGGGTTTACTAGCCGAATAGTCTCGTCTGTCGGAGTCTCTTGTAGTGTAGCCTTTCTGAGGCTTCCTGCTGAAGGTAACGCCCATTTAGTCTGTTCACCCCATGCTTTGGTGCCGCCGTTGTGTACCTTTTTCGAAGGCTGCTCTCTTCGACCGATGAGCCCTTTGCGTGGTGTGTGCCGAACGTCGGGGCGACGTACAGGTGACGAGGCTGCTTTACCCATATCCACATAGCTAGCGGATTTGTACTTGCGGTGCGGATGATGGTTTCGCAGACAGCTGCCAAGTTTTCTAGCCCAGCGGCGGAGACGAGATTCGCGTTTGTGTACGGTCATGGTCGTGATGTGAAAGCCTGAAGTATTTGCTCCGAACGTTGTTCTTGGGTAAATTATTGCGTTGAAACTGTAAAACGTGGCTGCTTCTGAGAAAATTCGTGGAGACGCTCGCATGACCAGATAAACGCCACAACGTTTTCTAACGTTCTCATAGCAAAGTTGTCCTGATCCACTCTTCAAGCGGGGCCGATGATGATGTTCTTGCCCTGCTTATCCATCTGCGTCCCTGAGTAACGCTGACGCCTGCTGCGGATGCCCGTTGGGTGGCTGCTTGGAAGGGACAGCAGTTCCATGTTTCCAGTCATCTAGCCGACCAGCGCACCCCACCATTCTATAATTCGTTCGAATAGACTCCTTGGAAGCATCCTTGAATGCTCGAGCCGGTAAGCTTTTACGCTCGTATTTGTGGTAGCGCAACTGGTCTGTTGCGCCGCTGATCAGTCTCGCGTGAGTCTATCTGGTATGCAAGCTTCTACCAACCTGTCAAAGAAATTCCACAACCCCTTAGCCAGTATGCATGCTTCCCAGATGGCACCGCCAACAACTAGGACAGACAATGCGGAGGCCACAATGACTACACCCACCACAATGAATCCTAGCACGTGCGTAACCGACAGAAGAGGTTCTGTGATCCGCCATTCCACTTTCTTCTTTCCGACTCGTGCAAAGTAGAACGCCAGGAAGCCATACCGGCGCACCTGGACATCGCGAGGTAGATGTCCCACGTATCCCAGCCACTCTGCAGCGGTGATTGTGACCTCTTCGCCTCCTCCGACAGAAACATTGATCTTTTGCTCAAACCTCGCAATGCGATTGCACAGTCCTCCGAAAGCCAGTTTAGCAAGCAAAGCCTGGTCGCTGATGCTTGCTATGCGCAGCTTTTGCTTGTCACTAAAGAGTGGCGTGATGGTTCTCAGGACTGTTTCTATGGAAGAGTGTCCAAGGCTGCACCAGAAGCAGCACCGAGAGAAGTGGACTTGCTCTTCGTGGAAGCACTTTTGTAATAAGACTTCTTTGGCGCAGTTGTAGAATTGACGGGAAGTGGGGCGCGCGCTGAACCAGAGTTCCGATGGGGATAGGTAACTGCAGATGTCTAGGACGAGTTCGTTCGGCAGGCTATCCATCGAGGCTTTTGGCGGGGGTGAAGGTCTGGGAGGTTTGGAAGACCGCAGAGAGACGCGCTGTGTTGCATTGCGTCCTGAAAGTCCAGTCTCGCCTCCAGTGCAGTATAGCAACATCTTCGTGAAGGGCGCAGCGAGTGACAGAGCTGAATCCAACGATAAGAGCCTTGCGGCATTAATATCCATCATTGTATTGAGTCCTGATATTGCCGATTAGTCGTATGGGTTTAGCTTGCTGCACCTTGTCTTTACGAGGTGTCAAAGCAGGGCATTATACTCGGACTTTGTACCGGCTCAAGGCTTTGGTTGGAAGGTGCTTGGTGCTGGTCTCACACCGATGGGCGGCTCACAATTGGGTAAGAAGGCGTGAGGCTGAGGAAGCTGATGGTTCTGGGCCGCATGGCATCAGGCGCAACGTCGAATCGCAACTGTTGATGCAGTCATACCAGTTTCCCAAAAGGGTAAGAGGCTGCATATGCCTTTATGTACACTGGCCTTAGGCGAAACGGGTTCTTATACAACTGACAGGGGAGTGTGCGTCGCATAGCGACATCGGAAACCCACCGACAGGCGCGGATTGAGACGGGTAGGTGTATCGAACTGGGGGCAAGGGAGCCTTGTGGCGTCGTAAGACTGAGCGTTCCCATAGACGTGGAAGCGGGAGGAGATCTGATCTTGGCATACGGTAGATGTCGAAGTGCACCCTTAAGGCCCCACCCGTCTCTTTTCCGGTGGTGTGATTCATTGCTTACGCAAAGAAAGTTGCACTTTGTGCGAGGTGGAATGCGCCATGCTGACTGCGACCAATAACTGATTGCTCACCATCGCGGTGTTATCATCAGCAGCAGGTCTGATACCTACTATCTGCAATGCCATTTCTCGAATAGACCAATCGATGAATGGAGCGCATGTGTTGGAAGACGGATCGACATTCATTAAGTTTTTCTTAATCAGCGTCCATGGATCAGCCTTGCCTTCCTGCAAGTGCATCTGAAATACCTGAGATACCCCGGCTTGGCCGCAGCCGCTGTAGGCCCTATGCGTTGTCATATTGATGCAACGAAGCTTCAGCGTATTCTGACCTTTTGTGGATGAGTTCGTCAGTCTCTTCGCCGCCGCGTGAGTAATCCGCCGAACGCAGGGTAGTAGGTTGCTCCGAGTACGGGAGCAGCACGGACCCTGACACGTCTGATTGCGGCCTCAGCCGCTTCCTAGCCAGATGACGTCGCGCGCGAACTCCGTCCTCTGACAACCCGACGCTACCAGGTTTCACATCGCAAGTAACTTCAGTCCGTCAAACGTGGATCGAGAAGCGCATATCTTCGATGTGAGAGATGCATGCTTTGATGGACAAATTTCTGCAAAAAGTCGGAGGATTCAGAATCTCGCCGCGTCTTGGAGAACGGCCCGAAACCGAGCACACGCCACATGCCTCAAATGAACCGAGGTGCTCTGCCTTCGAGGCCTCCCCTATATTTTGGACTCAGTACTAGTCCCCGCCGAACCTCGTCCGCTATCAGTAACCGGTTCAATCTTCACACCGAAGGGGTGTGTATTGCACCGCAGCTTCTAGAAGAGAAATACATGTATAATAGCAGGCGCGAGCTGGAAAATAGCAGAATAGCAACATCATCACCAAAACATAACCGTCAAGACTGCTACAAGGCATAAAACCTGCGTTGAGGCTAATCAGACACCTACACAATATTCGGAATTGAAGAACACACCAGTCGGCACCAACCGATACGAAAACCACGAACAACGTCTCAAGATGCAGAATAATCGTCAACTCAGCGATCCGGTGACACTGCCATCCGGTCTTGTGTTTAAGAACAGGCTACTCAAGGTACAGAACGACGGAAACAAACGCAGTGCAACTATGTCCCTAACACACCCATAGGCAGCGATGGCAGAAACCATGTCAAAGTCTCACAATCCCACAGAAACCCTCATGGCGGCCTACAAAGCATGGGGAAAGGGAGGATGGGGCGGAATCATAACAGGTACAAACCAACCCTTGGTGACCAACCTTGCTCAAGACTGACATATCAAGGGAACGTGATGATCGATGAGCGCTGGCTCGGAAACGCCCTTGATGTCTCTCTCACACCCAGCACTAACCCCGAACTCATTGCTCAATGGCGCAGATATGCAGAAGCATGCCGTGTCGAAGGTACCCCAGCGATCGTCCAGCTTAACCACCCCGGCCGTCAAAGTCCCCTCGGAGCAGGTTCCAAAGGGCTATTCGAGAAGAACATCGCCCCAAGCCCTATCGCGCTACAATTCGAAGACAACATCTGGGCAAAGACTGCACAAAAGCTCATCTTCGGTACCCCACGAGAGATGACAGTCGCAGAGATCGAAGACGTGGTAAAAAGACACGCCGACGCAGCCAAGTTCCTCAGCGAAGCAGGATTCGACGGTGTAGAACTACACGCCGCACACGGGTACCTACTCAACATCTTTATGTCCCCGAAGACCAACCAACGACAGGACAACTACGGCGGCTCAGCGTTCAACCGCGCCCGCATCGTTCTCGACATCATTAATGCTATCCGCGCTGTTGTCCCATCTACATTTACAGTCGGCATCAAGCTCAACTCTGCTGACGTCCAACATTCCAGCGATGTGGAAGATGTTATGCAACAGATCGGTTACCTTAGAGATACCGGTATCGACTTCCTCGAGATCAGCGGTGGATCGTACGAGAACCCTAGGATGATGAAGGGCGACGAGCCGCAGCCTGGCGAGAAGCCGGTGTCTGAGCGTACCGCGAAGCGCGAGGCTTTCTTCCTTGATTTTGCGAGGGTGGTTAGGCAGAAGTTCCCAGAGGTGGTCTTGATGGTTACGGGCGGTTTCCGCAGCTTGGCAGGTATGCGGGCCGCGCTCGAGGAGAATGCTTGTGATCTGATCGGTTTGGCGCGACCAGCTGCTGTGGACTCGAGTTTTGCGAAGAAAGTCTTGGAGGCAGAGGCTGCGGGTAGTGATGTCAGTCTGAGGTTGGATGCTGTAAAGCCGAGCTGGTTGGTCAGCAAGATTCCGGTCAAGGCTTTAGGTGCTGGTGCTGAGAGTGTAAGTTTGGTCCCCCGAGAAGTGAAGATGTGGGTGCTAACGAAACATTAGGCTTTCTACGGCGCTCAGATTGAGCGAATCGGTAAAGGGCTGCCGACAAAGACGCCTCCTACCACGGCATGAGACGAATTTGGAAGATCTGTGTCGCTTTTATAACATCTCAAACTTTCTAATCTGGTCAGCCATCGTTTTATACTCAGGAGTTCAACAATAGATTTCCGGGCACTACACCATTCCAATCAAGCTTCTGCACGTTGTAAAACCTGTCCTGGAATATTCCTAGTTGAGCAAATGCCATATTGCTGATGATCTCATGCGTTCACTAGAGGATTGGTCAACTGTCAACACATCGTCAAAATGAGCGAGACCTAGACATTTTACAATGCGAAAGCTTTTATGCAGATATTGCTCCCACCTTATGCGTCGAGAAAAATGCGGTGATGTCTATTCCCATCTCCTGTGGATGAGGAAGCAGCTCAAGATGCTCGATCGTGCCTCCTCTACCCAGCGCAGGACTTCACCAATCAACACCTCGCATTAGGTACAGGTTTCCAGTAAATCTTGCGTTCGACGGATATCTCCAAACCTACCGGATGCGGTATACTGAACTTGGCCAATGAACGGTTTCCTTTTGGTACCAGTTTCCAGTAATGGGCCGCCTGTTGCAGTTTTCGATGGATTTCAGGTCCTGCCTGATGGAGGGGGTTGACAATAGCCAATGGGCTTGCAGTTTGGAGGGCCGAGTTGCTTCCATGCCGTCTTCGATGGATCTCAAAAGTTGCCTTATCTGGACGACTGCGCTCAGCCAATGAGGATGCGTTTCATGTACCTAGTTTAAGGTTTTTGGCCGCTGTGCACCTGGAGAGTGCTTGAGTTTTCGATGGTTTTTGAGAACTTCCGAACGCGGTAGGTTGAGCTCGGACCACCACCGAGCCGCGGCGATCCCAAAAGATTTGGGACTTGCACGGCGGGCTGCATCATCGTGTCATTCACGTCTGCTGTGCTGTTTACAACTCGCTGCTTTTGTGCGGCGCCTCCTTCCATGTCTATATGCTCTAATTCGGTGCGAGCATTGTCGCGCTCTCGAGTTTCGCCAAGCAAAACGCTCCTTCCGTTCCTGTACCAGACACCCACGATCCAGCAATGGCAGTCCGCCACACGACCAATTGCTCGCCGCAATATTCACACCCCTTCGCGCCCGTACGTTAGCGAGGACATTCCCTTCGAAGACGATGCAGATCTACCGCCTGTTGTCGATCAACAGCCTCCCCGAAAGACTACTATATCTCGCACCGAGCGGGCCGCGTTCCAGAAGTTGTACAGGAAGTTTGATAATGAAGGGCGCCAACAGAAGAAGAAAGACCCTTTGGTAGATGTCGACGAGGTGTTCGAAGAGTTCCAGAAAAATACAGAAGATATCCCGAGTACAGAAGATATCCCGAGACCCTCGCTAGACAAGGTTTTCGACGAAGTGCTGAGAGGCGACCCGCGATTGCGCGCATTGCGTACACAGAGAACGAGGGCTCGATCTAACAAGCAAGATGCCGCTGGTGCAGAAGTGGGCAAATCGCAGAGTAGCAAGAAGAAGGGCTCGAGTGTGGAGGCAGCAAAGCTCAGAGAATTGCGTCTAGCGGAACAAGAACGGATCGATAGCCTCATACGCAACGCACCCACCGATCGCGCCCTCTGGCAAACCCTCGAGCGCGAAGTCTTTGCCAAAGTACGCGACCTCGATCTCGACAACGCCAGCGGCAGCCCCACGAAAGAGCCAACCGCCAAACCCAGCAACAATGCATCGAAGAAGTCATCAGAAGCTAAAGCCGCTCACAAACCCTCCCCACCCTCCACAGACGCACGCGTCCTCTTCCACAACTACCCCTACCACCTCATAACCGCCGTCATCACCCTACGCACCGAGTTCCCCTCCTCCCCCCTTCCCTTCTCCATCCTCCCCACGATCAAAAAGCTCGGCCGCTCCTCGCACGCCCTCGGCGCAACAACAACGCTCTACAAGCACCTGATCCGGACGGCGTGGATCCAGCAAGCCTCCTATATAACCATCAACATGCTGCTCAAAGAAATGGACGACAACGCCATCGACTTCGACGCCGACATCCTCGGCCTCCTCGACGCAATAATCAAAGAACACAACCAGGCGAGGAGTGGTGGGCTGGGCAAAGAGATGGCCATGTTGTATGGCATGGAGATGTTTGCTGATGGCCTTACCAAGATTAATACATGGAGGAATGTGGTGGCGGAGAGATTGGGTTTGAAGAGTGAGGAGAAGAGGGCGAGTAGCTCGCTTGTTAGGAAGACGAATGCGAGGTCGGATGATCCGAACTGGAAGGGGCGGAGTGGGTGGTGGAAGAAGGATGGTAGTACACAGGGACCTGGAACGCAAGGGAAGGCTGGTGCGCAGGATTATATGCCGCTTGTTGAGGGCGTTAATCCGGGCGTTGATGGGTCTGTCCCGGAGACGGCGTCTGCAAAGGGCGGCGAGCAGGTCGACTCCTTTGCAGACGCGGTTCCATCGAGTGAGGAGCCCGTTCCCGAACAGTCAAAGGAAGACGAGCGCACCGATGAGAAACGTGCAGAAGTCTTGTTGTAGCATCATCATGTATAATACCATGTATTGTCACTCCGAGCACAAATATTCACTCCGTAAACAGGACGTACTCCTTACTTTCTATAATGAACCAGGCCACCATAAACCACATCGAAAGGGTCTGTAATTGTAGCTACATTCGACGCCAATTCGACATGTACACCGACGAAGTTTCCAATATCTACATGGGATTGGTCCAAACGGGCCTGTTGTTGGTCCAGTCAGCCTGCAGGGCATCAATCTTCTCAATAAGCCCCTTGAGAATAAGTGCATCAGGTGTCCCCCTCTCCGCTGCCTCTCTCTGCGCAACCGAGGTATATCCATCCACCAGCTTGTCCAGGTACAGATCTACCAATCTGAAGCTGTTTGTAATAGCCGCCGCATTCTGAGTACGCATATACGTATTCCACTTTGTCTGCAGATCCAGACTTCGCCACGTGACCTGCCGACCGTTGATGGTCTTTGTAATTTGCGGCAGGTAAATCGTTTCGAGGTCGTTGAACATTTGGCCGACCCGGTCTTTCTGGGCAACCAGCGTTTGGCTGATGAAAGGATCAATGTGGTAGCGGATGGCAGCGATGGTATCTTTGACGTATTTGAAGAGCTTTGTACCGTCGCCCGTATATGTATCGAGCGTGTCGGAATTGCGTGCGTCACTGACGCCCCAAAGACCTTCTTTGAGGTTGTTGACCTCACCGTCGAGAAGAACGAGCTCGTTGCTCCATTGGTTGGTATGGCTGGGGAAGACAGCGCCAACCCAATCGATGGCGGACTTGGTCACACCGTTGATAGTTATTCTTTCTGCAACTCTGATGTCGTACCAGAAGCTTTGAACGCACTTGCAAAAGTTGGTACTTGCTTGTGGGTTGTAACAGTTGACCTTGGTCAAAGCACTAGACTTTGTCGGCTTGGCGTATTTTTCGAAGAAGTTTTTGACCATTTGGAATTCCAAGATATGCTCTGTGGCGAAGCGTCCTGTGTTACCGGCAGTGGGCGTTGCAATCTGACCGAAACCCATGTCAAGACAGTCGTTGTAGTTGTTGTAGCCATATGTCGGTATATTTGGGAGTACCTGTGCAGGTGCACGTCAGCGAGGTCAACTTGTGATTGCAAAGGTTCGCCAGGGAAGTATAGCCTACAAAGCCCAACCTTGAAGACTCATGTAAGGTGACTTACGGTCAATATGGTACCAGAGGTGTGGAAGTCAGCGCTAACGATGACCATCTTGCCACCGAGTTTATCGGCGCAGAACTCCTGGGTTTTGCGATCTAAACTTCGTGAAAAGACATGATTGAGGGTCACATCGCCAGATGCACGCTTTGCCAGAGAGCTACTACCGTCCACCACATGTGAAAGCTCTGAACACTCAGAACCTTGGTTATCGGGGCTTCCTCCAGGGCTGGGGCACAGCAGGTCCTGTAGGGGAATGTGGAATGGGGGACCCCAGGGTGTGACGCGTTTGCCAAATCGATGTACCGCTGTGGCATTGTTCGCAATTCCCGAGTGCTCATAAGGGTGGTAAAGAGGATGAGTACCGTCGATCGACGTGAAACCACGCTTAGTAGGCGCGCCTGATTGAAGGTCGGGACATTGGCCACCCTCAGGAAGACCGACCTCACCAGATCCTGGGAGATCCCACGTCTTGGTTCCCCAACCGAATGCTGGTGGAGTACTGACCTGCGCATATAACTTTGCGCCCACGTAGAAGCCATATGTCCACGGACATGAAGCTTCGGTGCTCTTACCAGCTCCAACCTCCATGCGAACATAGCCATCAGCAACAACTCCGGCTGTTGCGGCCCCAACCTTCCAGCTGTCATCAAAGCGAATACCAAACTCTGCGACGGCCTTGAGATGGGCTTCAGCCTGGCCTGAAGCTAGAACAGAAGCGTAGAATTGAGGTTCCAACAGGCCGTTTTTGTCGCCCGTCTCTCCAGAATCCAGTTCCTTGTCAGCCTGAGGCTCGTATTCCTCAGAGGCGGCTGGATAAGTTTGCCGGACGTCCCATTCCGCAAGATCGATCTTGGTTTCTATCTCGGCAGATAGTGTGAGGCCAGCGTTGAACTCGCCAACCACGCGGACAGAGGGACCGATAGTAACAATGCCAGGGACTCGGAATGTTGCGCCTGGGAAGGGAAGGGTAAGAATTGTCTTCTCTCCCGACTCGTACGAAACCTTGATCATGGCTTCGAGAGTGAACACCGCAGTGACCTTACCACTGTTGCTGAATGTAAGGTACGACTGGCTCAGGTCAAGAGAGCCGCCTGGATTATCGAAATTGAGCTTCGTGATGAGGGTGAAGCCAAAACTGGTGGAGATCTCGACATCTGTGAGAGCCTGAACCAAGACATGAGCATTGAATTTGGCCGGTCCTGTGCCACACTCGACTTTGTCGTCAATGATTTTGGCGATGAATTGCTCATTCACGTCATGTGTGAACTCTTTCTCGATCTTGGGGCTGACCAAGTTGGTGAGCCAGGCAAGCACGTCGGATCCGAACCATCGCTTGTGAAGCTCTTCATGACTAAGAGCACCACCGTGATAGTCGTCTCGCCACTCCTCTTCGAGCCATCTCTTATGATTGCCGTCAAAGTCAGACAAGGAGCGTTTAGATTTACGCTTTGTGCTCGCAGCTGCGACAACGTTGTCCCAGTAGTCGTTCTTGTTGGAAAAGTCTATCCTCATCTGGGTATCACCAGAATCTCGGGGAACGCGCCTGAAGTTGTAGTCGAAAGTCAGATCGTAGACCATTGGCATATGTGACGCTCGCTTCCGAAGATGGTGTGGGATTGTTTGATTGACAGCAGGGACCATATGTTTCGCGACGGCATAGCGACCGGCTCCACAGCCAGCTGGCATTTCCAGGATGGTACCGGGTACGCCGTGTCCAAGTCCGATGTTTTGACAATTGTTGTTCTCTGAGCCGTCAATGCAAAACATCTGGATGGTTTGCTCCTCTTCACTCGGCCCGCCTTGGCAGTTGAACAGTTCCCAATGAGAGCCATCGCGTTTATCGAGAGAATGTTGCAGTTCTTTAGGCGATGCAAGTACAACGAATTGAAATGCAGCATTGGAAGGGTCATCGTCGGTCTTGTCGTCCTGTCCACCAAAGGTGTCGTCCACATTGAGCTCGAAGTCCGTATCGACGTCGTCTCCAGTCGGGGGATCGCTGAATAGCCGATCGAGTGGTACCGGAAGGAATAGCTGTTTACCATCGGTTGGGTCGCAGCAGTAGACTCTGTTTCTTTCCAGTCGAGGGAAGCAGGATTGCCCAAAACCATACGGGCTGTCCGTGAGTTGCACTTGCTTTCCGACCGGGCAATGGTTGTCGAAGCAAGATCCGGGCTCTCCGTACCACCGGCAGTTCTTCCAGTTCTTGGCGTCTTTCTTTGGGCAGCAGTATCGTTTCTGCATGTCAACGTCAACTGCTTCGAGCCAATCAACCAGAGCATTATCGATCAAAGTCATCGCGTCTGCAATGTCGGCGATTGTGCTCAGAAATGTGCCTGAAAAGGTCATCGTCGTGTCGTCGCCGTTGCAATCCTTGCCGACGCCTGCCCAGTAGCAGTCATGACCCTTAGCCGCAGGTGACTCGCAGCAATATGCTTTGTTTCCGTCTTCACAGTATTTCCCATCACCCCACTTGTTCATCTGCAACAGTACCTCATTGTCATGGCAGCGGCCATTACATGGAGGTGCTTCGCCGCGCCAGTGGCACTTGTCGGGATCTGGTGCACTGGAAACTGGACAGCACAGCTGGCTGTCCTTGCCTTTGGATCTGCGCGTAACAGGCTTCGCGCCACCGCATGGTTGCTGTTCGATTTTGAAGAAACCAGCCTTACAAGTACCGCCACAGTCAGTGACATAGCAATCCGGTACAGTCGCATCGTCCCAAAAGGAAGCGTCATCGGCAGTCATCGCGAGGGCTTTGACAGATTTTGGAGACACGACGGCGTTGAGAGCATCCAAATCATCCGTGTCTTGATCAATGGCCCAGATGAGTAGTCCGCCGAGGCCTAGCTTGTTGGCAAAGTCGATCTTCGCCTTGAATGTATCTTTGTCATCATACGACACCCATTGATCTTGGTTCCAGGTGATGTACTTGACTTGAGCCTCCTTGTCTAAAAGCACAAAAAGCGATTAGCCTATCTATCACATGTGCTGGTTCCGTCGTGGCTGCTTACCATAGTAAGGACTGATCTTGTGCTGTTTGATGACTTGTTGAATCTCTTTGTATGTCAAAGTTCCTGAGTTGTCGGAACAGGGACCAGGAGATGCTCCGCCCTTGAAATTGCAGCCAGGTCGGTAGCAAGAGGGGTCTGATAACTGGAAACTGCGACCATAGAACCCCAGCCCGAGATTGAGCTTCTCTGGTTTGATGTCGTTGCGCCAAAAAAGATCCAAGGCTAACTTGATCTCGGTTAAGTTCGAATGCCCATATATATGATTACCGATCGGATTCGTTGAGTCCCAGATCTAGACACATATGTTAGCGCTTGCTCGAAATAAGATGTTCACATCATCGCTGCATCCGACACCCAGACCAGCTTACAAGCAGCTTGTGGGAAGGGCAATCCCGCAAAGGTGTGTCACCTCTTCATCTTGGCGTCTGACCTTCCGACATACACAAGTGCAGAAGCGGGAGGCAAATATTTGGCTTGACTTACTCCATGAAGATCATAGCTCATGACGTTGACGAAGTCGACGTAATCCACAGCTTTCAGATCAAAATGCCTCAGATACCAGAAGCTAGTAGGAACAGTGAAGGAGACAACATAATGCATGAGCTGCTTGTCGTTCTCCTCGTTAAGTTCCTTCAAGAACGTGACAAAGTTTTTGCCGTCTTCAGGCTTACCCCCTCGATCGGTTGCTCCGGGATACTCCCAGTCGAAGTCCACACCGTCAAATGCGTACTGTCTCATAAAAGCGAATAACTTTTTAATGAACAAGGCGCGATTAGCAGCAGTGCTAACCATGTCGCTGAAGACCGGCTGAGTTGCGGTGCCGTTATCGTTGAAGGTCCAACCGCCAAGAGCAATGACTGTCTTCAAGCCGGGGTTCGACTTCTTGACATCTGTGAACTGCGAGAATAGATCGGGGCTAAGGTCGTCCATCGGAACCAGATCAAAAGTACCGGGCGAAATGTAACCGAAGGAAAAGTAGAGATGAGTAAGTGCGCCTGTTGGGATATTCTTGAAGTCCTACGAATAAGATAAGTATGTTGCACTCGCTCTTGGCTGGTCTGACGTACCATGCCTTGACATTTCCTGTCATGTGCCCAAGCTTCATAGTAACCGATCACTATCTTCTGAACATCGCCGCCAGAGCCACCAGACCCTGGCTGCTCACAGTTGCTTTGGCATTTTGGTTCGTCTTCGGTACCTTTGTCGCAAAACTTCTCCGTCATGCCGCAAAAGCTGTGGGGTGTTAGCTGGTATCATTGAGAATCTTTTGACTAGCATACCCAAATTCTGAACAACAAACATTGAGCGGACATTTGGCACCAGGTATCTTAGCGTCTTTGCCACATTCTGCTTTGGCATCGCAATTTGACCAGCAAACATCGTTGGGACTTTGACCGTTTGTGCCGCAATATTCTTCACCATAGTTACAATATCCGGTAGCCTTTGGGCAGCAGGCGCCGTTCTTGCATGGCTTAGACTCAGAGCATGAATAGTCTTCTTCAGCTCTTGGCTGTAGAGCCCGTGGGGCCAGATGCGGACAAACAGGCGCACGTTCTGTATGCTTTTCTTTCGCAGAATAGTCAAACGGACTGGACTGAAGTTAGCTACGAATGCACCGCTTCTAACAATGTTCATGTACATACTGGATTGGATTGACGCAAGTTGGTGGCGCGTGAGATCTCTTGTGGTGAAATCGTGCATGCGACTGATGCGCTGTAGCAGTGATGAGCAGCACACAGAAGACAATGGCCCACCGTGCGAACGCGGAAGTCAATCTGGACATCTCGGCGTCTAATTCCACTGAAAACAGTAGGAAAGAAACCAAGATCGAGGACTGGAAAAGAGCGTTCTCAGAAGCTCCGTGGGAAAATGGACTCTGTCTATCTTACCGGTACCCACAGCTTAGGTACGTTGGCATCAAGGTTTCCATTTGGACCTGCCGTGGATCCAATGGACGCCTGAATAACAGCGATCATCGTGGCGGCGAGTAGTAGGCGTGCAATTCGCGCCCCTGCATGCATGGCCAGGCCAACGGACTGAAATTTCCAGATCTGTACTGGGAGAGATGCTGCGGGAAGTTTACCATGCGGCCCAGATATGACATCCCATCTAAATTTGCGCTCTTCCGCATTGGCGCCTTCGGGGTCGCTCGCTAAGACATCAAGAAATGATATCAGCTTCTACCTAGGCATTACCTAAGTAGGAAGGACATAAGTCACGCTGACTGGGTGCCAGTTGCCGTCCGGAGGTCCCAACTGCAAGGTTTAGTGAGCTATCTTGTCTTCAGGTACTTCCGGTATGGCAGCAATTTTCAGCGCGCAGTGCTGAAATGTAGAGGCGGTTCCCAGCGCTGGCCGAACTGGGGAGTCTGTCCTTTTTGCCGCGGGAGGGACGCTCAGATAAGAATTGCCCAGGGCTGAAGCGCGGTCGTACTATCAAAGCAACCATGACAGTCTTGGGCCGGAGAACAAAATCGAAGCGGTGGAGATGACATGATATTACCCCTAAACTAATGCTGAACGTCTGCCGGGCGTAAATAATTGGCACCTCACTGCAGGTGATCTTCCGGCTCCGAGTGGTGCCAAGCTTCATAGTTCGTGCTTGGCATCAGGCCTTCCGTCCGGATTCGGGCCGCGCCCGCCGCATCTTCAGGACCCGCTTTTTAGCCTGTTGCTGAACTGATTTGGGGTCTAACATGTTGCCAATACTCCGCGAGACTTACACGACCCACACCGGCGCCAGATGGATAATGAGAATGGACCCTTGGGATGCAGGTGCCGAGCGATTAGGTGCCCCATGCAGTGCGGCTGGCTGTACATGCTTTCTTGCCTCGGTGTAGAATGCAGTTGAAGCATCCTGCATCGTCGCTCTTGGTTGCAGTCATTCCTGTGAGTACGTCTTTCGTGGACCGTCGCAGACCTCCCACAGGGCGATACTGACTCTTACACAAGAATGCGTTCGCATAGTCCCAGGATGTTGCTGCGGCTTTTGCTACCCCTTTGGTATCTCCCATCGACAATTGCGATACCCTTCTTCAGTAACAATACTATCCCATCCAATCTGACCAGTGATTGTGCGACGGCCCTTCTTACAGACGTTGAACAATGTCCTCCTACCGTTGCTACCTTTGCTATTGGATATTACTACCCCCCCTCCGTGCTGGAAAAAGCATGCACAACCGCCTGCGTTACTGCCCTTGAGCAGTACGAAGCAAGCATTGCCACAGCTTGTACCGGGCAAACTTGGACGGCATACGATGAGATTGACGGTGCACCACTGGACATAATTGCCAATGTTATGCGATTCAACCACGATCTTGTTTGCCTCAAGGACGCGGGTCGCTGGTGTAATGTAGTTGCGGTTGCTGCAGCCATGCAAGCAGATCCAGGACGTAGGTAAACCGATACTCCAATCCCAACATTATGCTAACCAGAACAGAGAGCCCAATAGGCTGGGACACCGAGCCACCAAGCGGCGTGCAAGCCTCCGGACCCTGCGATTTGTGTTTCATCAAAAATCTGCAGAAGCAGGCTGGCAGTCCGTACTACGACGGACCTCAGATTCGAGAGAGTTCCTTGTACGAGTCAAAGACATCAAGCTGTGGTGTGACGGGCTACCCATTGTCTATCTCGTCTTTGCCCTTCCCGCAGTGAGCATACATATATATATGTTCGCAGCTCCACACTGACTCTTTACAGGCTTCCAGTCGCTAGTCCCACACCGACATCGACGGTCTGCAGTGGCAAGGAATACGATATCCAGACCGGCGATGACTGCTACAAGATATCCAAGTCCCAAGGCATAGGGACTGCCTGGCTGCTTTCAGACAATTCTCTCACTGCCTACTGCGCCAATTTTCCACAAAATGGCAAACTGTGCATCAATAACACGTGCAAAGTCTATACAGTACAGCCTGCCGATACCTGCGAGATTATGGCTAGCTCCAATAATATCACCATCGCGCAGTTGAAGGCCTGGAATCCGGTAGGTGCACAGTGCGCAGATCTCGCTTCTTTACCATTATTCTGACACTCTCAGATCATTAACGCTGGCTGTCATAACTTATACAAGATGAACGGGACTTCTATTTGCGTGTCCAATCCTGGCGTAGCATATGTCACGCCCCCAGCTATGCCTCCTCTGGCACCAAGCACAGCCGTCAGCGCAGCACCCGTGCCTACCAATGCGAAGGACGAATCGAACCGACAATGTGGGCAGTGGTACAATGTTGAGGGTGGAGACTATTGCAACCTCGTGACACTGAGGTATGCGATAGCACTGGCTGATTTCGTATTCCTGAACCCATCCATCAACGCGAATTGCACCAATCTGCTGCTAGATATCAGCTATTGTGTAGCGCCAGTAGGAGACAGTGAGTATATTGATACGCTAGATAATCGAAGTTTGCGGCTGACCAGCCAAAGTTAACACCTACTCTGGACGACCTGGCTACCATACTCCCGGTCCTTCGGGAGTACCATGTAAGTACTTCACTTTGCACTTTGTGCGCCGCATACTGATTGTGACTCTCCAGTTACCAAAGTCACGTTTACGCCCACTAAGCCCGCTACGACAACACCCTCGCCCACGCAGCTGAGCCTTGCGCTTGATACAAGAGACGATTGTTACCAGTATTTCGATGCATCACAGATGGAAAGCGACATAACAGGAACTCTTTATCGTCACAAGTGCGATTTGGCTGCAGATGTCTATGGTGTGGAGATGTCCGAACTGCTCACCTGGAACCCCTCGCTCGGTAACGATACCGAAGCGCCTACCTGCAGCTTCGAGCCTGGAGTCCGCTATTGTGGAAGGTTCTACTTCGAGCCGCCAAAGGCCGAGCCCGAAGTAGGCCCATCGCTGGAATTTCCGATCAGAGAAGGGTATGATACGAACTGCACTGAGTTCAGGGACGTGTCTAAGGATTTCACTTGCGAGGATGTTCTGGCTTTGTTCGATCTCACCTTGGCTCAATTCTTTAAGATGAATCCGGCTGTAGGCTCAACGTGTGCGAATCTTTGGACCGAAACGGCATATTGCGTCAAGTCGCCCAATGCCCCACCGCCCGCTACGAGCGTTACTTCGGCCTCCGTTGCCCCAAGCAGTACATTTCCACCGGGACCTGGGGCACCAACGCACACTGGACAGCCTGCAAACTGTGTTCGATGGCACATCGTCGAGAAAGGGGATGATTGCTCGATTCTTGCAAACAAATACTTCATCACCTTGGAGCAATTCTATGCCTGGAATCCCGCCGTGTCGAATGATTGCCGCGACAACTTCTGGCAGGGATCGGCATACTGTGTGGGCACTTCGGATTCGATCAGCGTGAGCAGATCGGCTCCCCCGCCGTCGCCTACTCCCAGTCCTTTCGTCATACCAACGCCAAATCAAGCAAACAACGCGATCAAAGAATGCAACAAGGCTGCTCAGGCGCAGGAAGGAGACTGGTGTGCTGTAAGTCCACGATATCCGGTTCTGCGTCGCTTCTAGACTGACTCTTATCATAGCTGTTTGCTGAACGAAACGGAGTATCCGACGCGCAACTATATGCATGGAATGCAGTCTTGGATAATGGCAATGCTTGTGGCACTTCATTTTGGAAGGATTACTGGTACTGTGTCGGTGTAGCCGCATGAACAAACACGTACAAAAGCGACATGCTACACCCGTCTCTTGTAATGTTGTTCTTGCGGCAACATTTAGCTATCTGCGCAGACAACGCGCTTCTTGGTAGCCAGAGGTCATACCTCATTACGCCTTCCCTATATATTGGAAGTGCTGGTGCCGCAACTGAAGCCTCCCTTTTCCATATTTTGATTTGCTCGGAAAGTTGAAAATGACGGTGTTGTGCTGGTGTCAGACGATTCTCGTCGGCCATCGCTTGTTCAGAAATAACTATCGCACTGGACTGTTGTATATGAAGCCTCGTCTTCTTGACTTGGAATGCATTTGCCCTGTGACTATCTTTGGAGACCTACACGTTAGCATCTTTGGAAACACCCGCCGGGCTTGCGCAACAAGACCTTGCATCAGCATAGCTTGGTGTGATTCCGCTGCAGCGAACGGGCAGACCGTTAGTCTGTTCCAAGGTTTGCCTAGGTAGAACCCCTGCTAGCGCCTCGGTACTCCCGCGTACTTATGTACTCAACAGCGTTCCCGCAACAATGGTGCGCTCTCTCCCCTACCCCATTCACGCCATGGACAAACTACCACAAGAGCTGATCAACCGTATTGTGTGTTTTGCAGAGCGGTATCCAGACCAGGAACAGCGGGCTTCCGCGATAGGACAATCTTTCGAGCCCGATGGTTCGCCATCTCAATTTCCTCGCCTCGCGATCCTCAATCGCACTTGGAAGGAAGCAGTCGAGACCATTACATTTCACCGTCTAGGCATCAAAAGCGATGAGCTGGAATCGCTTCAGTCGATCGTAACAGGAAATCGCCGCAACTACCTTTCCTGGATTAGTTTCGAAGCGGTATTGCCAACATATCCGGAAGAAGCATACGAACACAAGGAGTCACGACTTGATCAACATGCCAACAACGAGGCATTTACAAAAGCTGTAAGCGATCTTTTCACGGTGCTGCGAAGCTGGGAAGACAACGGTGTGAAGAATGGAGTGCGGCTTACCATCGTGGGGGCCACGTCCCCGACCGACGCCCGGGAAGTGGATGAGTTCGAGATCGAGCATGGTCTAAGCAGAGACATTCAATCCGCTCGTTGGGCAGAGTCGTACCTGCGCCTTGTTGAACCCGACAACCTGCCTACATTGTCTAATCTGCAGCACCTCACTATCGAGCGCACCGGCGTGCGAAGCCTTGCACCAAGCGTTGCACTAGATCTAGCGGTAACAATGCCAGAGCTCAGGACAGTGGACTGGGAGTTTTCAGACTACGAGGCTGGTTCTGACGCGGGCTCGGATCAAGACTCGCTGGATTCAGACTATGATCCAGAGTGGGAACCGGCGACATCTCCCAAGGCGCGCGGTGAGGCGCGCACTGAATTTGCTAATAAGCTCTCGCCGACACATTTCCGCTCACTCCATTCTGCCAATATTGTCTTTGTACACTGCACTCCTTCAGATCAGAGGTATACAGTTCCGAGCATTGTGCCAGAAGGCTACACATACGACCCGTTCAGTTCATCAATCCGAGCCTTTTCACAATGTCTTACCACCCTTACCCTGAGTGCGCATGTCGACCCCACGCTATTCTGGCCATCAGACGAGAACGCGATACCACCGCATTGGCCACACTTGAAGTCCTTCCACATTGAGTTCGACATGGTCGCTCCATCAGGCGAATGGTACTTCACAGGTCCAACACCGGCCGACGATCCCCACGACGACCCCGTGCGCGGCATCGTTGGGAGTGTCGATACGCGCGATTTCAGTTGGCAAGACTTCCGGCAGCACCCCGACCCGGAAACCTTTGATCCTTTTCTCGGCGCGCTCGCAAAAGCCGTTGCTCACATGCCCGTTCTCGAGTCCTTTATGCTTACGTCTGAGATGACGGGTCAAACGAAAAGATTGCACATTTCATATCACGCGCCGGGGCAGAAAGCGGAGTGGGGTGATGAAGGACCGGAGGATGAACAGTACAGGAGGATTTACTACGCGTGTGAGATGGGGGTATGGGTACCAGAGTCGAAGACCTCTGAAGGGTTGAAACGCGCAGGACTTCAAAAGTTCGGTGGGGAGGCCATCGAGCGATACGTGGGAAGTCAGTACTATTGAGAGGGATTATGTTGAATACGCACGAAAGAACATACGTACCCCATCTAAGGAAAAAGCTGTACACCCATGTCTACAAAGACCAATGTTTGAAAACGCTAAGAAGGTTACATGGCCTTGTTACCCTAGATAGGTGGAGTTCATATGGCAATGTAAACTTCCAGGGTACCTGTCCAGTTCTCCCCTTGAACATTATGAACGTCTAGACGCGGCTGTGGGTGGCTTCATGTAGCTGTGATGTTTCTGTCAAGTATATGATTCATTTTCTTTCCCGTTCCTTCACATACGACCATAGGACACTGAGAATTAGGCTTCCCGTCCGCTCAGCCATATACAAGCAGTGTACCGGCCTATTAGTAGCTTCGTGGGTGACCAGAAGCGAATCCGGGCTGTTGTATGTTTTTGCTCTTTTTTGCCCAAGATTTGGAATGGACTCTCGAACTCGTGCCACTCTTTTTGCCCCAATGCGGTGCGCAGAGGCTATGTATGTGGCGGAAGATCATAGTCGGTCAAAGCATAATAGTAGACTTGCGAGTTGAATAAGCTGCGCGGTTGTATTTACTGTTCGCGCTATTCTATTATACATGTTGACTATGGCTGCGACGGCGTCCTAATAGCAGGATTGCAGGGCGTGTTGTACCAAAGGCGTAGATGTAGCGCTGTAGGCTACAGAATATGTGGCAGCAGTCAAGGGCCTTGTTGTGATATGTATCCGAGGCAGCGCTGGTCGTTGTCACAGTCGACGTACGTTCGGGCGGAATGTCGTCGCTGTAGAGTCGTGGGTTTAGAGACCACTGCCAGTCCGTTTGACCGCACCACTAACGTGTGACTGTCGTAGAATCTCTAGCCCTTACTAGAGAAGCAGCTGTCTCAGCTCGTGGGTTCGTATGGCTATCCATGAAGGAGCTCTTGTTGTATGCCCTCAGGTCTCCCCCTTCTTCTCTCCCTGCGCATCGAAGCCGAGGCCCTCTAGTTGGCGTATGAGCTCGTTGATTTTGATGACCTTCTCGAACTGCTCCGGTAGCAGCTTGTCGCCCTTATCCTTCCTGTCCTTCAAATCTCTGGCCTGCCTCAGCTTCTTGGTAAGCTTCTTCGCTTCCTTCTCCTTCTCAACCTCGGGGTCGACAACCTTCTCAGCCTCGGGCTTCGCGGCCTCCTTCTCTTTAATCTCAGCCGGTTTGCCTGTTTCTTTAGGCTCAGCAGAAGCTTCCTTATCCTCATCTTTCCCATCACCCGCAGCGGCTGCCGCTTTCTTTCTAGCTTCCCTCCGCTTGGCGTTCTTATTCGCAGCTGGACTCGATATGCTAGCAGGCTCCTCACTCTTCACTGCTTCAGCGCCTGGCACGCCCGCCTTTCCTCTATTGCGAAAGCCCTCAGCGGTGCGGTTCTTGTAGAGTTCGACATCCTCGGGTGGGCGGTAGCCCGGGCGGACTCGAATTTCTTTGCGCAGGGTGCCGTCGGGACGGACGGATGCTGGAATATGGCGTTCGCCGGTTGCGGAGGTGGTGATTCCGGCTTTGGAGATTGCGGGAGTCTCTACTGAAGGCATGGTGTGGGTCGCGCCTGCGGTGAGGTGGAGTGGAGGGAGGATGCGCCAAAGGACGTCAGGCAGTCGCAACGGGCCGGGACACACCAATCGTCCTGGTGAGACCTCGGCAGGTCTTTTCAGGCGTCTGCGAGGAGGTTTGAGGAGTTATCGGTGCGTGCCGTAGAGGTTGAGCTGGTAGCGGTGGTGGGGTTGGAAACAAAGTTCACGTCAAAGCGGAAGGCACGACGGGCCAATTAGCGTGGCGCAAATCCCCGTGACGCGAGAGCTTGAATCTTGTCGACGAACCTCAGCCTTTGACATCGCCAGTGAAGCACCACCACATCTCTCTCCACCGTCAACCCAGCCCTCTCGACACCTCCAAAATGTCTGGCGTAAGTGAATTGATCAGAACACGTCTTTGAATGTCCGCTAATGGCCCCGCGCAGATGATCGGCACCGTCTACAAGCAAGTCACTCCTCGCGCACACCTTCGATCGAACGAGACTAACCATCGCCCGCAGCGCGGTCCTCCGCAGCAACACCACCATGTTGTTCGCCGTCTTCGGCTCCGCCTTCGGTCTCCAACTGTAAGCTACAGCATCCGGAAGAGGAACCTGGGGAAAGGAGAGAGGCTGATAGCAGTACAGGGCGTTCGACACAGGCTCAGAAAAGATCTGGGACGGTCTCAACCGCGGCGTACGTCAAACGGCTGTAATGGGAAGGGCGTTCGCTAATACAGATCACAGCGCCAATGGAAGGACATCAAGCAGCGATACATGGAGGCCGCCGAGGACGACGAGTAGGACATCAGCCATACCTCAGTTCGAACATGAAATAGACACTTTCTTATGGTTCTTTGGGGCGGACACTGTACATTGTGGTGTATACTACAGCATGCGAAATACCAAGGCGATGTGGCCTACATCCCATACATGAAGCCCCGTCAACATGATTGCGTTTGGTGGTGTGCTGCGGACGTTCTGGCTCGTGACAAAAGTTTCGTACATGTCGAATGGATGATTTCAGCATACACGCGGATCAGGGCTGCATCACACAGACCATATGCTACTACTAGTACATGGCGGACCATGGTCAGGCTGTCTCGAACAAGGAACAGAATGAACTTATGCATTGAATAACTGATGTCTTTCCATGTGACAGCAAGTGACAGAACACTCAAAGACATTGATCGCCTTTGTCGACCCGCGGGGTTTGTAATTGCTGTTTGG